CACACGTCCAGCTGCTCCACAAACTTGTCTTACGGGATTCAAGGGAAAATCCTACAGTGGATCAAGGCATTTCTACCAGACAGATCGTTCCGTGTAGGTAGGTTCTTCCTACTCCTCTCCAGTGCCGGTTTCCATTAGAGTTCCTCAAGGCTCCGTCCTGGGACCAGTGCTGTTTCTGATCTGTCCACGACCTCCCAGATGTTCTTGCAAGTCCATGTCTACTTTTTGAGGACGACTTGAAATCCTGGAGTTCCAATGCCAATGCCCTCCAAATGGATGTAGACGCTGCCAAGCAGTGGTCGCTGGACTGGCACCTTCATCTGAATGACGAAAACTGTGTCCATATGTCATCTGGGGGAGACTCAGCGAACTCCTTTGCCGTAAATGGTGAGAATGGACCAGAAAACATCATGAGGATAGATGCCAGAAAGTATTTGGGCATCTGCGTCTCTTCAAACTTGTCTTTCTCACTGCACCATGAGAAATCGGCCCAAAAGGCATTCGCCATTTTACGGATTCGGCGTACCTTCTCCCATATTACTCGCATGGACTCTACGGAGCCTATGTTAGACCCCTCCTCAATATGCCAACCAAGTTGTCTACTCAGGACGCATGAAAAACGTCACCCTCATTGAGCGTTTCCAGCGAGCCGCTACAAAAATGACTGTCGGCCTCAAGGCAGTGGGCTATGAAACGCGTCTCGTGGCGCTTAACCTCTTTCCCCTGGAGTATCGTCGCCTCCGAAGGGACCTAATTCTTACTCATGCCGTACGTGAACAAAGTTTGGCCAAGGGGTTTTTCCACCGTTGACCCAGTAAACACACGGCGGGCACATGGTGAGAAGATTTTCAAGCTCAGAGCGCACACATTCATCAGGTAAAATTCTTCTCACTTCAGGTAGTAGCCGCGTGGAATGATCTCCCTCAAACGCTTGTCTACGCTTCTTCTAGAACCCAGTTCAAAGCACTACTAGATACTTATTAATGCGAATCGCCGCGCTGGCAAGCATAACGCCCCGCACTGAGAACATCAAGAGCAGCGCTATACCCTTTTTGCACTTGTGCCTTTCAGGTGAACGACAGCCGCTGAACGACAAAACCGACCCGGGAAACTTAAACAAATGCCTCGATCCTGTGTATCAATCCGTGAATCCGTGAACCAGATATCGTCAGTCGCTCGACAATGATAACCTTCCCCCCTGTTTGGAAGGAAACGATTGTCACGCCAGTCTACAAAACTCCTGACCGCTTATCGCCCGGCAGATACAGGTCTATCAGCCTTACCAGCATACCGTGCAAGATGGCGGAATGCATAGTTGTTCAGTACCAAGACCTTGATATCACCAGCGCTACAGGGATTCCTCCCAAAGTCTTTGCGTGGCGAACATGTTAATGTCTGTGAACAGCTTAGTACAAGGTCTCACAGCGGATGCCATATTTTTCGGCTCCTCAGAAGCGGTTGATCGAGTCCTACACGTTGTACCGCTGCGCACGCTCGAGTATTATGGAATTCAGGGACAAATTCTACGCCGGGTTAAGGCATCCCTATTAGATAAACACTCCGAGTGGAAGTAGGCTCGATCAAATCTTGAGCACTGGTCTCTATTGGAGTACATCAAGTTTTCTTTGGGACCAATGACGGAGAGTGCGTCCACATGTCATTCGGAAGAGACTAGGGTAAAGGCTTTTGTACTGCATGGTGAGAATGAACAACCAGACAGGTCATTCTCACTTGACCATGAAATACCGGCCTAAGAAGCATTTGCCGTATTACGGAGGTTTTGACGCGCCTTCCTCCGTAAAATTCGCATAAACGTCCATATTTCCTTTGAGACCTACGTCAGACCGTCTCTTGAATATGCCACTCAACTAGCGGAGCGTGCCCAACGAGCAAAGAGGATTGGTGGCCTCAAATACTCCAACTATGAAATGCGCCTCAGGGTGTTTCAAATCTTTCTCCTGGAGTATCTTCACCTCCGAGGGGACCCAATATTTATGCCCCGTTTGGACAAGTTTCAGACGACAATTCATTTTACCGATGAACCAAGTAGTACAAAGCAGCAACATGGGTGTGATTTTCAAGCTCGGAGTGCACACTTTTACCTGACGGTGATTTTCCGCATTTCGGGTAGTTGGTCTTTTTCGACGGTTGTTCGCGCTTCATCCGAATCCCAGTTTAAAGCACTTCCAGATGTTTTCTTGTGGGTCGACTCATATTGCGCTAACAAGCTTACTGCCGCGTGCTGATAAATTAATGAACGGTGCTGCATCCTTTTTCGCTTGTGTCCTCCAGATGAACGGAGGCCTCTGAAAGAAAAAAACAAACCAATTCCATGCAGCCTGGGCAAAAGCCCCAATACTGTGTATCAATCAGTGATCCATGACCTTGAGTAAAGGCTGTTAGGTCGGCGTTCAGTGATTAGCTGCGATCACCTCTGGAATACGAGTGAGCTCACTCATCTTATGTTGCTGATTGAGCTCTTGAATGTCCATTCAGCGTTCGGCCATTCTGATTACCGAGTCCATGAAGTCTATATGAAGGTATCGGTGATGCAAGATAATGGCAGACGGTGGAGGAACTCTGTTACTTGGTGATGTAGTGTCTATAATCCGTTGTCACATTTGTCGGCCATTCTACCGAGTCCATGAAGTCTATATGAAGGTATCGGTGATGCAAGATAATGGCAGGCGGTGGAGGAACTCTGTTACTTGGTGGGTGAGTGTCTATAATCCGTTGTCACATTTGCCATTCTTCCTGAACTTGAACCACACTTTAAACACAGAGATTTAGTCCCACTGGTTCAACAGTCAACAAACAGTTCAACGGGCGTAAATACAGTCGTTCAGCAAGAAGTCAGCAGGTCGCGCCGGAAAATTGTGTATTCGTAACATTAAAACAAACGTCATGATACAATGTGAACGACAGTTACAAAGTGTGGTTCAAGTTCAGGAAGAATGGCAAACGGGACAACGGATTACAGACACTACAGTACTCCCCCCCCTAGAGCGTCAGGGAATAATAAAGGGAATGACGCCCGATAATGTGACAAAACTCAAGGGGTGTAGTCTGCGAAGCGAACAGGAGTCTTGCAGGTTCGACCAAAACCTGTTTGCTTCAGGATAGGTAACGGGTGATCGTCAATACGTCGTGCTGTATGTTCGGGGTTCTCTGGGATGGCTGTACTGGAGGTTTGGGGACTTGTGGGTAGAGTGACTACAGTAGGGGGATCTGAGTGAGACTCGTCATCGATGAATGCAACTTTGAGTCTGTCGATACTGACGGAGTCCGGTTTT